CAGTAAATAGTATGTTAATATTATGTAACAGTCTTCAATTGTTGAGCTATCTGTTTGTAAATTTATTGCACGAGGCACTACACTACGATTGGCAAAACTCCTTACATGTGCTGCTTCTATCCACGAAATAATGCTCCATGTCAGGTGTCGTAGCGAGGCATTCATTTTTCCCGTCCATTCTTGGATTTTCGATACTTATCCAAACGCTTCAAGAGTCGTGTGCGTTGGTGTTCTAGATTCCTTTGCCTTTTACGCGGACACAAAGTGGCCTACCCGTTTCGCCCATGTATGTTCACCACATGCCTTACATGAAATCAAGTGTATTAATGAAGGGTTCATTTTAAGGTGTCTAAGAAGAAATGCCCTTAAAAATTCAGTAACAGCTCCCACGTAATACCATATGTTTTGAATTACTACACATCTGCCTCCATGATCGGCTGAGATGGGGATTGTATGAGTTCATGTAGAATATACTTAGTCTCATGTAAGGCAAAATGGTGAGTGGTTTTTAAACAAAGTAGCGTTCATTTACATGTTAGATCTTTACTAGTACTGTAGATATTTCTTCGATTTATAAGCGTATCATTGCATAAAATACGGCCAGGCTCTGAAAAAGGTAAAGTCGCCGGAACGTCAGCTATCGATGCACGCTATCGGCGGCAATAACGACAATTTGAACCAACCTTGCGTCAGCTCAAGAAGATACATATATACATAGATTAGTTAGATAGATATAGTAGTGAGAAAGATGCAAGATATATATATGTATATGTATATACATATATACATAGGTTTTGTACCATTTTTAGCGCTATATTAACACTGAAGATAAACTTTTTAAGGAGATCGTTACGGTGCTAACCGATACGTTCAAGCAAAATATGACTATGATTGAAAAGCAAAAATCTGTTGTTCAAGCACTAGAAGTGAATTCTGACGGTGAGCTTTGCATTTTAATTTTAGATAGGTTAGACTGTTGAATAACTTCTTAATGTATAATTGTGTAGATGCCAGTATACAATAGGATACAGGCTCACTCACTTGAACTGTGAAGACATTTTTTTCCTATCATTGTCCACCTAACAGTAGGAGAAAAGTTGTAGCACCCTAACTAATTCGTTAGAAGGCCGACTCTTTCACGTGTATGCCCACTGACTTTAATATGCATTCTAATATTCTATATAATATTCTTACATAATGATTTTAATGCGCATTTCAATTGTAGTCCAATGACACGCGGTCCGACGAACCCGACAGGCGAAAATGGCCGGATTCGCGAAAGGGTCAAAGGGGAAAGGGTGGGATTTGATATATTCCTTGAGGATAAGTAAAGAAAAAACCTCTCGGTGTTGACCAATCCCTGAGGGATGCGCCATGCATTCGACTTCATCATGCATCGTTAGAAGACTGAATGCATATTTGGCCTATACAATGACCCTCAGTGGCCTACCGGTCTATAAAGTCAGTGCCGTTAACCTCTCAGACAAGTCTGGTGCCAATTTGCCGACTACAGAGGGAGAGAAGGCTTTGTGATCCGAAGACAAGACATTGCCAACATGTGCATTACACTCTAACTACTAACCACACGCACTCTCCGTTAAGAAACACCATTCATTTGACGGTATTAGACACATAAAGATGATGGTATGCATACATAAATGCAAAATGGCCTGCATCGGCCTACCATTGTATTAAACCAGTGTTTTACCCTTACAGATTATTATGGTGTCAATTTGCCTACCACGAGGACAAAGAGTTTGCTTTGCCCAATACGCAAGAAGCCAAAGACAACTTTTATATTGTAGGGCACTTCTAACCAATGCTCTTGATAAAATAAGGAAAATTCGAACCTGTCTTGAAGTTTAAAGTGAAAAATATTTTCGCGATAACATCATACGTGGTCTGTACTCAGTAGACACACATCCTCTCTTTCAGGTTTCATTCATGGCAATAGCGATTTTCGCCGGCAAACTTCCACCTATCCAGCGGGATATTAAAAGACTCACTTACATTCCTTCACTTTTACTGTTAACTAATTCGAATTCTAGTCTGTCTTCCATGAGTATTACCGTTATCACTGTTGGAACTAACTACATTGAGAATATGATTCTCTGCGAATACTGGCGTAACTTATTAGTTGTCGATATTTTTTTCTTGAGCTAAAGAATTTTATGTTTCCAAAAAGATAATGAGAAACTAATAGGTATAATAGATAATATTTTGGCTTGCGAATTTGTATATAAATTGGCTGGTTCCGTCCTTTCTAAGTGTGGTGAACACTTATTCGCTTATTTGTACTGAAATCCGACAGTTCCATGTCGTACGAGACGGTTTTAAATATCTAACCAAGAGACTTACTTTGTTTATTTGTGCTACTTTAATGGCATAAATAAGCTCTAATAAATGATTTTCGTTGGTTTTGGTTGATTTTTTGATTATAAGCTAATAGACTAATACACTTTTTAAGATTTATTGACAAAAGCGAGTATTCTTGTTTTTTCGATCGCACTTTCATAGATGTATCGAAGCCATTTTGGGAATTAATGAAGAACCGGTTTTTCTATTTTGAGAACGTTTCAGCTTTCATCTTTAAATATGAGACAACCAATATTATTATTGTGAGTATGCTCAGATCTTCTGCTTTAACATTCACATGCGAGAACATTTTTTAGAAACTCATGTTCATGTATGCATGTGTGGGTATGTTCTCTTTTGTGTGGATTGAGCCAATTCGGGCACAAGCATGAAGTCAAGGAGCAGAGAGGTTTATGAGAAGCGGTTAGGAGTTCACGTAAATAAATAGACTCCCGTAACTACTCAGGAAGAGAATGGAAAGCTATCCGTGAGTATTTCTAGCCCCACGTTTAGAGCTCAACAAACTATACGTGGGTAACAAACGCTAAACACAGTGAAATAAATGGACCTCATTCTCCTGGCCTCGAAAGGTTCCCGATACTGCACCGTTAGGTTGAGCGAGGGCGTAGAAGAGAAGCAGGGCATTCTAGGCTACCTAAATCGCAAAGGACTTAGGTGACCATCCGTACCGACAACGCTCACTTGTATTTGAGTCCTCAATAGAGGACTTGATCTAGTGGAGAAGACCCCACCCATTCGACGTCGTCTATAACATCGGAGAAGAACTGTTCCTCGTAACATGGGACAGTGGAGGAATCGTTGGTGTTAGCGTTCTTGTCAACACGAGTTGAGCATCGATTAATTCGAGCAGACACTGATTGACATCGAGAAGCTCGTTTTGTGAATTAACTAAGAACATTCAGTCGTTGCGCAGTAGCTCTTTAACGCGGTTCTATTTTGATAGAAAGCACGGGAATTGAACACATCGTAACGGCATTCATTTATTAATGTACTATTTAAATAACGTTATAAAGTTGATTTAGAGTTTTGTAGAGCTGACAAGAGTGTGTGTGATTCGGAAATAAGGACAATGCGACTTTCACCATGCGGAATGCTTCATCGTAGCGTCCTATCTGAAAGTAATACCATCAAAGTGAAAACACATCATGCTGTGAAAACATTGGATTTTGAAGAATTCTTTTTAATGCTTTCGAAAAAAGAGATACTACAGTTTCAGAGCGAATAATAGTAGAGCACTTTATTTCATTGACAAGCTAACACCACGTTCTTCTCAACCATTTATTTGGCTAGCGTCTCGACGTCTTCGCCTTTTTCAAAGCCAATGATCCGAGTCGATGGCCCACAGTCATTCATCTTCTCCATGAGGTGATTTCATTGTCGTATCGAGTCAAATTTTCTTCAGTGGAGCACCTCTCTAAGGAGGCTGCCTCACCAGGTTGCACTCTTTTACACGAAGCGTTTGAAGACGAAGGCGCTGGATCGTTAATCGAATAAGTGTTAGGTAACACCCACGTGTTAGTTAGTCAATGAATTAAATTATACCGACTAGGTTAAATAAAAATGGTAGAGAGTAATTCGAAAACTTGGAATTTTAAAGCGTTAGTTTATTCAGACGACAGACTCTATACCTTTCATCAAGAATTTGGGCAATAAATCCACTGTTGAATTGGCACAGCACTCATTAATGCAGGATACGTCTACTGACAGAAGCATTGCTATAGGCTTTTACTTAGCCATTCGAATATAAATGTTAGAAAATTAAGAGCAATAAATGAAGGTTAAATACTGTGATTTCGACTGTGGCTTCGGCTTAACCGGGTTTGTTCCCCAAGTCGTTCCTGTTGACGGGTGATTGCTCAAATAAACAAAAGGACAAAGAACTGGTTGAGAGAAAGATAAAGAAAGGTTTTGCTTGGTGTGGTGGACAGCATATGAAGAACCAGTAAGAGTAACGGGGATATCTCAGCGTCCTTGTAGTAATTCAAAAATGGTTCGGATCATGTTGCGCTTCAAGATCTAATGAAATCTCAAAGATAATTGTGATAAAGTTAAGAGAATGAGCAATAATAGTAGCATTAATAGTAACATAATATCAACTCTTTTATTTAATGGCTATTACATTTGTTCATGGCAGGGTATTATGTGTGACTCAACCACAGTGATGCTTGAAACTTCAGACCACAGGTGCCTGCGGTGGGGAACGAAAGCATTATTACTCTCCTCGGGGTTAACAGGATCACCACCACTCCATGAAAATCCTTTGTTCCGCCTGTCTTTAAGCTAGTTCAGCAATTGCTGGTGGCACTGATTGATAGAACTAGCTAAGAGACAGGTAAAACGAGGGACCCACATGGTGTGGTGGTGAACGCGTTAGCCCTCGGAATGGGTAATAGCGCGTTCATTCTCCACCGTCCGGGTGGCGTAGTGGTGAAGTGCGCTGCTCCCCGGTAAGGACAACAGCGCGTGTTCGTTCTCCACTGCATACACCTGTGGTCCGGAGTTTTGCAAATATCTCAGCACATTGTGGTTGTATAACATAATAATACCTATAGCAATAGTAATAATGATATTAATAGTAATAAAAATGCTAATAATAATAGTGACCAAAATGTAACGAAAATAAATTAAGTTAGAGGAACGACGACTATGGGAGTACCTACTATTACCTGATGCTGTAAAAGAATGAAATCAACCTGAGTACATAGTAAGGCAAGATTGAAGTGAGGCTCAAATAGATGAGGCGATTTGGATATCGCTGAATGATAGAGTGAACGTGCTTGGTCGAGTTTTCCTTAATTAATAAGTAATACGCTGAGAAGCCGCTCATATAGTTTTCTTAAGCAGAAGATCTAATCGACTATACTACTTAATGCCTAAATTGTTTAGTTAGACCCTACTGAGATATGCAACATTTTGCAAAACACTTCATTACGGCATACTAACCTTCCATTTGTTGCAGAATTCCCAAGTTTACCATAGCTTCACCGTGTTCGGAGTCCACAGCGAGTGCTAATCGAAAACAACGGCTTGCTTGTCGAGTATCGCCGATTGCCTTCAATATTACAGTCTATCAATGGAGTTCAGAGAAAAACTGAACCATCACCCAGTACATGTTTACAAATATACTTAACATCTAATTACAACCTTAAACGGTTTGCAAATATCAAGCACTTATAGAAACTACTTTGTTCTATCTTAGTTACACGGACGCTTAGACAGATCATCTTCACTGATTGTGCTGATCTCAGAAAATTTTCCATTTTTCGCAGTTTTGCTGGTTTAGCTATTGTGGTTCCTTGGAATCCTGAGCTCAGTCTAGCCAAAGTCTGACCCGGATCGTCACCACCACAGGCAGTCACAGCCCTTGTGGATCAGAGGGAGATTTGCCACCACGCGACTAGTTTGGTACCAGGACAGTGACGGATCCTGGTACTTGTTTACTCTTAGTTGGGCTTCTTGATGGAAACGCCAGACTTCTTCTCAGCTTGGGAGACCTTGCCATGGGATAAATTTCTCCGAATTACATCGCAGCCCGACACTCAGGAACATCTTCCAGTCACGATGAGGCGCTAAACCATTGGTTGGAATTTATTCTATCGCTTTAAGGATATATATAGTCTTGTTTGATTTCGTATTTGTGCAACACTATTCAATTCCCAGAAGACAGCAAAATAAATTCAAATGTTTAAAAGCTTTAAAGAAAGCGCACAAGTGTAAATCTCGGCAGTTCAATCTGAAGCATCACCGCAACCTTTCTAGAAAAAAGATCGCTATACTTGTTTAAATCATTCGAACCCGAATGGGCACAATAATGTTAGTTTATTGAGTTTAGTGGGTTCTAGAGCGCTTTTTACTGGACTATGTTCACTCATTCGATAGCTGGTTGGAAGCAGATCATAATATTAGGAGTGAGGGCGGAGAAGCCGTTTTCTACACCATAATTTACAAAAAAATCGTTCTCGAAAAAGGTGATTGGCTGGCCAGTTGACCAACAATTAACTGTTGTTTCATTTTAATGCCTATGATAAATCATACTTATTTTATAAAATGTGTCGTTGTAGAAAACACCGAAATAGTCTCGACATAAGCTCGCTAATACTTCTAAAAACAGAGGATGTATTTGCATAATGGACCATGACAACACATAGTAGATAGTAGCGCACATATTATTAATACCTATAAAACGACACAGCGGTCTCTTCTACAACCTTGTCATGCGCAAACCCTCTCCAAGTCCGCTTTCTATTGGAGAAAGATTTTTATTGTCAAAAAACCAGAAAGTCCACAGCCTGCGAGAAATCGCACGTAGTCCGTTGGGTAAGTCATGCAATACGGTAACCGGGCTCGTCGGAATAGGTAAATCGCTTATCTTTTCGAAGTATGGCCCTCGATAAGGGAGCGAAACCAGTTTTGTGGCTGCCAAAAATCAGAATTCTGTTCTGGTTGCAGATGAGAACCAGCGCCTTGTTGGCAACGATCTTTTGATTCAATAAAACTTTATTTGAACTAAAAGGATTCGCTGTGAGCTACACTTGTTACATTAGATTTTGACATACCTTTGCTTGGATTTGAAAAGCTCAACTAACTTCAGATGTATAAAATGTTATACATTTTAAAACGAACCAACACCGCCGCCGCCGCCTATATGACCGTCTATGTGCAACTCAAAATTGCATAATTTGCCCCAGTGGTAGAGACGGTGATTGCATGAGCTCGGGTATAGTTTATCTGATCTCCTGTAAGACGTGTGGTGACGAATACATTGGCGAGACGGGTAGACCCCTCTGTGTCCGCATGAAAGAACACCTAGCCGGCAAAAATAGACCAAATACCCCGCTAGGCACGCATAGGACCCAGAGACATAACGGGGACGACTTCGAAGTGTGTGTCACGATCCTCGCACGCGAATCAAGAACACAGACGCGAAAAACTCTCGAGGCACTCTGGATTAATTCCAGAAATCCGAAAATGAACCGCAGGGAAGAATGCCTCATTATCACGCGTGATATAGGGCAGTATATAAAACTGCTTTTCTGATGTGAGGGGCACATTATACTTCCACGTGATTTCTGTGCGGTTGGTCTCTACGTGACATACTTAGTGGAGACCTCATAGAAAGCGGTGAGTGTGCAAAGCTGTGTTCAAAGTGATTGAAATCTTGGTTTGGAGTTTCTTTGTTTGGTTATGGAGGCGTCTGGCCGAGTGAGTTGCTATCAACTTGACCTTTCCAGGCTCTGAAGAAGGCGAAATTCGCCGAAACGTCAGCTTAATCGTGAACAAAGAATAATAACACCTCGCGTTTGCTCAACAAAAATACGAACAGAACTACTTCGTTGTATCAAATAAGGTTCATGAAAATTATAACTTAATAAAACAATTCTTGACGTTTACAAATTTCGAAAGGACCCAGAGGGATGTGGCATGCATCTACTTCATTAAGAAATTTAGAGTCGATTGAATGCGTATTTGGCCTATGTAGTACTTGGCCAACTATCGATGTATTAATTCAGTGGTGCTATCCTCCTAAGCAGCTATGGTACCAAATTACCACGCTGACGCAGAATCGAAACTAAAAATATGTACGTCGCGCCTCTAGTCACTGTACTACATAACGCTGCTGTGCTCAAACCATCTAAAAGCTAGTAATGGTCATTGCAGACACAGTCGCAGAATTTAGAAAAGAAACTTTTGGAAATCACAAGACTTTTTATAAGAGCTGCGATAAAAGTATAACCACCATGATGCTGAGATATTTGCAAAACTTGGAATCCAGGCTAGGTCGAACCGCCATTACCCTTCCCTGTGGTCCGGCTGTCTGAGAGGAAGGCAAAGCAACGGCTTTAGTAGCGCCGTGCGTAACCGTGAGCCTCCTGGAAAGGGTAAACGGGATTCCATCTGGCCTGGAGTCCAGATTTTGCAAATATCTCAGCATCGTAGTTCTTACTGCTTTGGTCATTATTTGTCGTGAAAAATAATAACTAACAGTAAATAAGAAGTTAACAGTGTACTACAAGTTTTAAAATAATACCAGCATTAAATGTCCTGTATTGTACCATATTTCGCCTGCGATTTCTTCCGTTGCCGTTGAATGGGCTCTAAATAGTAGTAGGTTATAGTAGTACTAGAGTTGTAATATTGACCATTAAATTACTTTTATAAGGTTAATAATAATAAAAATATTGATAGCAACAATAACAGAAAACTTATTAGGAAAAAACATTAACATGCACAAGAAAAAAAGTTGGTATAGACACCGAAAAAATATAGGTTACGTCACTTTCAAACAAATTTAAAACCTACACGCTAGGTAAGCTTAAAGGACAAAGCATAAACCTCTCGGCGTTGATCAATCCCTGAAGGATGGACCATGCATTCGACTTCATTAAGAATCGCTTGGAGGCGGCTGAGTGCATATCTGGCCTTTATAATGACTCGCGGTGGCCTATCGATGTATCGAGCCAGTGCTGCTATCCTCCCAGACAAATCTGGTACCAACTTGCCGAGCCCAGAGGGATCGAAGGATTGGTGTGACATGGCCGCGGAGATCGATTCCATGTGTATGTTGAAGGGCGCCTCCGATCACTGCGTCACACGCGCCCTTAGGTAAACATAGCGCCAAAAATCACCTCATTTTACAGTTTTGTCAAGAAAACAATTGCATTTGTAACAAAATGGCAAAATTTCACGCTGTCGCAGATGTCGGGTACAGTTTTACAAAATGTTCTAAACATAACATTTCGGAGTGACAAGCTAAGGACAGATTTCAAAATGGCTGTTAGCAACACTGCACCTGCATTTAAACATAGGAACAAACAAATAGAGCAGAAAGTCCAGTGAGTGCTCTGATTTTTTTAATATAAAAAAAACCTTTGAATTGACGATAAGGCAAAATCGAACTGTTGACACGCAAAGCAGCACAGTCCAATATTCATCATGAGTTCGGCGTTGTTAACGCCCATTTGCACCATGCGTCTAAAAGATTATAATTATCACTGTTCACCTTTTTCTCTACAGACTATTATTTTTTGGTGCACGGTATTATGCACAATACAAGCATAATGATTATGGGACACTTTGCCAAAGTAGAAACCTTAGCCTTGCTACGAACCCGCGACTACCTTTTCAGGGATCTTACGTGTCACCCACTATACTATCAAGGCGTTCGCTGTGATTTTCTTTCAGCCAGTTTTTTTTATTACCCTAATGGTGCTCTCAGTAATCGACAGTCAATGGGAATGATCTGGAGGGTAAAAATCTGAATTGAACCGATCTCAGCATCACTGTGGTTGTACCTTACATAACACCTTGCCATGAAAAATAATAGGGAGTAAGCCGTTAAAATGGGCAGTTAAACGTTAAACGCTGTGATTTCGACTACAGCTACAGCGTAACTGGATACAATTCTGAAAGCAGCTTTAGCGTGAAAAAAAAATGACTGAGAGAAAGGCAAAGCAAGAGCCTAGGTTGGCGTGGTAGATAGTGCGTGACCCACCTGGTAAGGGTAATCGCAGGTTCGAAGCCGGACTAAGGTTCCGAGTTTTGCATGTATCTTAGCACCATGTCCACTTTTCATTTGTTTCTTATTACAGTTTTTCACGTCATAGTATTAAGTGAGATACAACCGTAGTGATGCTGAGATATTTGCAAAACTCCGGACCGCAGGTGTCTGCGGTGCTAACGAACGCGCTGTTACACCTTCCAAGGGCTAACGCGTTCATCACCGCAACACGTGGGTCCTTCGTTTCGTCTGTTTCTCAGCTAGTTTTCTACCGATCAGTGCCATCAGTAATTACCCGTTTTCTCAGTGCCATTGTGATTATAATCAGCAGTTTCTCCAGGGCTCAAGTGGCATAGTGGGTACAAATGCCTAGCAATAGAGAAAAGCTTGTTGGTTCGATTCTGCACCCAGGAACAAGTCGAGTGTATGAAGAACTTATCAGTGGCAAACGCTTATTTCTTCTTTCTTTTATCTCATGATATTTAGTATAAATAGATTTTTGAAGAAGTTTTGGTGTTTAAGAATTATAATGAGAATTGTTGCAAAAGTAATAGCTCCTCAATGGCTTGTTCACTTTAAGCTGCCGATAAGCACCTGGGTCTCTAGTTACAATGAAAAACAGAACGTTAATCCACTGAGAGATTTACTAGGATAAGAGAACACTTGGCGCCTTTATTCAGAAGCTCAGCGGGAAAGCAAAACTAGCAGTCATGTGAAAATTGTGCTGGAGTTTTCATGATTCGCAAAGACTTTTATAAGAGTATTCAAATGTCTAACTAAAATATACTGTTACTCTAAATAAATAGGACGCATGTGGCGCAGTGGCTGGAGGCGCCCTGCAACACACGTGGAATCGATCTCCGCGCCCATAGCCCACCAAGCCTTCCATCCCTCCGGAGTCGACAAATCGGTACCAGACATGTCTAGGAGGATAGCAGCACTGGTTCGACACATCGGTAGGCCACCGCGGGCCATTGTAGAGGCCTGATATGCATTCAATCACCTCCAAACGATGCTTAATGAAGTTGAATGCATGGCGCATCCTTAAGATATAGATCAACGCCGAAAGCTTTATCCTTTTTTGTTTCCTCATTAAATATAATTGAAGCTTTCCGTTAATGCTAACTCATCAATCTATTTACCGATGTCGAATAAACAGCTTAGAGTCGTACAAAACACTGAGGTATCAAATTTTAAAACCAGCCAGTTAAACAACATAGGCTGGAGAATGTTTATCGATTTGCCTACTTTAAGAAACGCTACCAGCACCTACCGATAGTAGCACAATGCGATTTCCGGTTTGTCATCATAGAAGCAATTAGTGGCGATACAGGCAATGGCTTCGATATTGGTTGCCTGTGTAGTAAGTATTTTCTTGTAACACTCATTAGATTCTGCCACTTCGCCAAGTTGCTGAAAGAGGTAGGTTATCAGTATTCCAACCAATAGCAAATTTCATGGCAGTACTAAATTGTTTCATATTCACTACCTACTAAGAAACCCATGTAGGAAATCTCGAACCGATTTAGCAAGGTTACGCACGTAACGAGTACGACCTTAAAATTGCTTCTCTACAATGTAAAATTTGAAGTAAGACTTTTTTCCTTCGCTCTCCGGAACAGCTTAAACCTTCGACACATAAACATTTTCATTCATACGCACGTGAACATGTTAACAGTAAAAAGACTGTTCATCGTATGATTATTGGCACTGTGTTTTCCAGTGCCCTTTGTGGAAGAGAAAATGGATATCTGGAAAGGCTTCTTGTCTCTGGTGCAGACAAAAATGAGAGGACTTTGATGTCGGTTAGACTCACTTGTTGCTTAATGAGATTGTAGGTGTAAAAACATATGTGATTTCACAGATCAGCAATGTTCCTTCTTACAGGAATGTATATCAAACCTCTTTATTTCTAGCCAGCCCTGTGAGCAAAGTTACATCATCGTAATACAACATGAGGCCATGTTCGTAGTATTTGTTCGACATTAGTGGTTGGTCGAGGCGACGATATACCTGGAGTCACGCAGCGTTACTTTTCTCTATTATGACCCTTTATGAAGTATGAAATATTTTAAGATATTTTCACAATCTCTGAAATACGAAGGCCACGTTTTCGTTTTTTGTTTCGGTTAACGTGTTTAAGATTTCTTAGATATTGGTGTGTAAGCAAGTAGAGCTACTTCTCAAAATCAGTGATTCAAAGTCTAAAAAATCTCTACCAAATCCCAGAGCCAGTTTTCTACTAATCTAGGCATTGTTCAGCAGCTCACTGTCTTTCTATTTGACAGACACAAGGTTGTTACTACACTATTTCATTCACAGTAGGAAACATTTCGGCGGTCTCGTCTTCTTCAAATCATGTAAAAGTTAGATTGACATGGAATGCGCTCAATCAGACATTTTCATAATCCAAGCAAAAAAAACGCGTTGTATAAATTTTATTCGCACAATAAACAGCCTTTTTAAAACACTCACCGTTTTCGCAAAACTTGAACCCGGGCCGGGTCGACCCACGATTACACGTTCCGGGGACTCGCGGATCACACACTGTACCACTGAAGCTCTTGCTTTGTATTTCTCTCAGCTATTATAGTTTTCTATCTTACGCTGTTAACAGCAATCACCCGTCAGCGAGATTGACCTAGGGAGCACAAATCGGCATTGAACCCAATTAAGCCGAGGCTGTAATCGAAATCATAATGCTGACGGGTAACTGCTGATGTCAGCGTTAGGTAGAAAACTAGGGAGAGAAACGCAAAGGCTTCAGTGGCGCAGTGTGTAATACGTGAGCCCATGGAGAGGCCAATCTGGTTCCATCTGGCCTAGGATCCAGGTTCTGCGAATATCTCAGCATCGTTGTGGTTGTATTTCACATCATACGCTGCCGTGAAAATCATAGTAGGCAGGAAAAAAAAGGCTAGCTCGCCGCTTTGTTCCTTTCCAGTTATTTAGTGGAAACCAGCCGCAGAGAGTAATCCACGGAAGACGAAAGTTCCTGGCTCAGACTAAAAAGTTAGCGTGAGGTAAGGCTCAAGATGTTTTAGATTCTTGTAGGAGGGCAGTTAATCTTAAAAATCTCCAAGTGTCCTCGATAACTTCCAAATATCAAAAAATGAGGCGCAAAGAGGGGCGCGTTGTGATCACGTAGACCACGCTCAGGATGATTCTATGGCCTGATCCTGGCACATTCCTCGCCCATATATTGCTCCGTGCGGCTGCTGTCGTTGGAATACTTGCAAGGAATAAAACGATGGGTGTTTAAAAGAAGTTGTTTATTATGTGAATGCAAATTTATGGTTCCCAGGATCGACTTTCTCTTAACCTCGGCATTGGAATATGAATGTGTCGTTTTCTTGTTCAGCAATCGCGAGGTTTTTAAACAGCATACATTTACTTCCATAAAAACACAATACAATACAACGCCAGCTGACGTTTCGGCAGTATCGCCTTCTTCGGAGCCTGGAAGGGTATGCTGATATACAATCTACTAGGCCAAACGCTTCAATAACACTTACAAAAAGACGAAAAACTCTTTGGTAATTACACGATCAACAACTTCTCGAAAAACCCACCGCTTTTCGTGACTTCCAATGAGGGAGTTTAGAACAGCTGATTATAGTCGCATGTGGTTGACGACTGCACCATCCCACATCAAAAGCCGATGCGAACATACGGGATCAGGTCGCGTATGACCTCCGGGCATTCATCCCTGCTATTCATTGTAGGGTTTTTGGCATTTATCCAAAAAGCCCCAAGGAGTTTTCGCGCTGGTGTTTTGGACTCCTGTGCAAGGATATTGACTTTTACTTCAAAATCGTCTCCGCTATGCTTTTGTATCCTATGCGTGCCTAGTGGGGTGCTCCGTCTTAGTTTTCGTTTGCCATCTAGGTGTTCTTTTATACGGATACACAAAGGTCTGCCCGTTTCGCCAATATATTTATCTCCGCAAATTTATGTACTAAGTCCTATCTGCTAAGATTATGAAAGTGTTTGGCTGAGTAGATCGCATGTCAATTTGACTTTCCAGGCTCTAAAGAAGACGAAACCACCAAGACGTCAGCTATTGTATGCTAATAAATTGTATAATACCAATCTCGTGTTTGCTTATCGAAACAGTGAATTATCGATCCGTTTACTATTAACTGATCTGGATGGAAATGTGAAGCTCGGTGCCAACTGGTGTGAACCTACTGTTAATAAATACATACAACATTGTTGCGGCTTCACAACCAGAAACACTAACGCAAGCAGTCACTTATTTGACATAGCTATTCCATCTTTCACTTTTATTCTTGGTGGGCAAACACGAGGTTGTTACTGCTGCATTTATTAATGCACAATAGCTCACGATTCGGCGGCTGGCCTTCTTCAGTGCCTGAAAGACTCGAAGTGACAAGCAATCTACTCATTTAAACAGTTTCAAAACTCAAGCAAATTAAACTCAATACTCAGATTTTCGTGTGTGGCGCAGTGGTAGGGGGCGCCACTGCGACACACACGTGGAATCGATTTCCGCGCCCGTGGCCCACCAAGCCCTCCATCGCTCCGAGGTCGGCAAATTGGTGCCAGACTTCTCTGGGAGTATAGCAGCACTGTCTCGATACATCGGCAGGCCACCAATGTAAAGGCTACATATGGATTCAATCACCTCCAACGATATGTAATGAAGTCGTATGCATGGCGCATTTGTCAGGGATCGAACAACGCCGAGAGCTTCATCCTTTTATTATTTACTTAGATCTTCATTTGCCTAATAAGCAGCTTCTCTAACACCCTCACAATTCTTGTAAAACTTCTCAGCATTATGATAGTGAATTCAACTTACCAATTTTTAGGTTTTATTCACTGCCTCTTATTGTTTCACTACACGTTATTATGTAAAACACAACCACAATGATGTTGAGATATTGTAAAACTTGCACCGTAGCCCAGATTCGAACCAGCGGCCATGATTTCAGGCGGTCACGTTTTACTCACTGCACCACTGAAACTTTTGCTTTGTCTTTCTCTCGGCCAGGTTTTGCCATGGGCAATCACCCGTTGACTGGAATGATCTGTGGAGCACAAACAGGCAACTAACGCAGTTAAGCTGAAGCCATAATCAGAATCACAATGCTGACTTTTTATTTACCGCCGTTATCAGTGAGAAAGGCAATAAAAGGGTCTCAGTCGTGCAGTGTGTGACACGTGAGACCTGGGAAGAGTATTCGCGTTTTCGAATCTGGACGGGGTCCAAGTTTTGCAATCATCTTAGCATCATTATAGGTGTAACTCACTTTTTTGTTCTTTGTAAGCCTTCTGGTTATTGGGTGGAGACTAGCCTCACAGAATGTTACACAGGGGAGAAATGTGTCCAGCCCAAGCCAAAAAATAGCCTAAGGCATCTCACGAGGCTTACTCGCTGATGTTTTGGATTATTTTGCGAGGATATCGACTTTTAGGAGCCTTTGTTTCAGCTTCAAGGTTAAAGACTAGGTGTTGTTTGTACGGATGCATAGTGGTCTAGCCCTTTCACCTATTTGTTCGTAGCTGCATGCTTTACAAGAGATTTAGTACATCGTACCCGAAAATGAAAATTGATGCATTAACTCTTGACTGATGAGGTTATGAAAGTGCTTGTAGGAGTAGAATATATGTCATTTTACCCTTCTCAATCTCCGAAGAGGGCGAAACCGTCGAAAGCTCCGCTACTATGTACTAATAAGTGCTGTAATAACAACACCATGTTTGCTAGTCAAGAAAAGCAAAAATTGTAGATCAGTGCCGGGGTTAAAAGAAGTTTGGTTTTGCATTTGTTCCAGCTTTGTGCTATGCAGAATAAACATGTGCGTTTGTCACAGCTTCATGGAAAACTTTGAATACAACACAAGTGCACTCAAATGAGTTTCTGAGGATGAACCGAAGCCGCATTTCGTAGTTTAGATGATGGAAGAACATCACTACTTTGATCCTCAGCATAGCTCATCTTAAAAAAATACCGATGGACCGATCATAATATGAAGACAGAAGAAGGCAGGAGGGCGAGAAGAGCATTCATTGAAGTGCATCACCAAAAATTTGTTACAAAACAACCTAATGGGATAGACTTCCAAACAGAAGAAACGTCGATGTGTTTATGGCACGCAGAAGTCAACAATATTCATAGATGTAATTAGCGTTCAGATCCTCAAGTGACGATTGAACCATGAAAGAATGACCATCTCTATATGATAACAGTTGCAAAATCAACGAAAAAAGTGGGTAAAGCGCCGTGGTCAGCGCGACTGTAAAAAATAGTAATTTTTTAAATAACAACCAGCCACAAAAGAATCAAGAAAATACTTCTCTGAATCCACCTGTTTGTTTCTTTAAGCTCTCACATTAAAACACGTTACATATTATCGAGACAAAGTGTGCATGAGGACTCCTCAATCACTGAGATCTATGGGTATATTAACGAACTTATTCGATAAGTAAATTCAAGTCCTATTATAGTACAACCACAAGTACGCTGAAATATTAATAAAGCCCTGCTAATGAAGTGGACTAAGTACCCGCGATTACTCTTACCGGGCGATAAAGTGCAATCCATCAAATCAACCGAAGTCCTTGCTTTACCTTTCTCTCAGCTGTATTTATATTCTGTCAGTGCTATCAGCAACCACTCGTCACTAGAAATGCTTTGGGAATCAAAAATTGACATCTAATCCGGTGCAGCTGAAGCTACGATCTAAATCACAATCCTCTTTCCTACCTTCATTTTCTGCCTAATGTTTTATCATGGATTATCAAGGTATTATATGAAATATAACCATAGTGATGCTAAGATATGAGCAAAACTCAGAACCGCAGGTGGCTTATTGCCGATAGTACCAGTTCAGCAGGGCGCGTGTGGCGCAGTGGTCCGTGGCGTTTTGCAACACACACGTGGAATCGATCCTCGCGCCCATGGCCCACCAAGTCTTCCATCCCTCCGAGATCGACAAATTGATACCAGACTTTCCTGGAAAGATAGCAACACTGGCTCGATACATCGGTAGGCCATTGCGAGTCATTGTGAAGGCCAGATAAGCATTCGATCACCTCCAACGATTCCTAATGAAGTCGAATGTGTGGATCAACCCTCAAGGATCAACGCCGAGAGCTCTATCCTTTTTTATCCTTTTACCTACAGAGTAAAAAAAATGGCTGAGAAAAGGTGAAGCAATGGTTTTGGTATGCGTGGTGGATAGTGTGTGAGACCCCGGTAAGGGTGATTGCAGGTCTGTGCATGGCGTGAAACCGAGTTTTTCTCGCATCATAGCATCTTTATGGTTCTACTTCACATCGTATCCTGTTTGTCATGAAGAAAAATAGGCAGTAAATAAAAGTTAAGATATTCTGATTTCCAATTGCAGTATATCAAAATGAGGTTGCATGTAAAAAGCTAAATTACACCCGCCATTTTCGATCGGAAAGAGCAGGCTACAACAGCAATGATAACGAGATATTTGCAAAGCTCCGGTTCGCATGTGTCTGCGGTGAGGAAAGAACGCGTTATTACCCTTTCCGGAGGCTAACGCGTTCACCACACTGCGTGTCCTTCGTTTCGCCCTTTTGTCAGGTACATTTCTATCTACCAGTGCTATCAGCAATCACCCATCAACGGGATTGATTTGGGGAGCTCAAATTGGCAGTGAACCCAGTTAAGCTGAGGTTTCATCCGAAATCACGGTGTTAACTTTTTCATTTACTGCCTATTACTATTTTTCACGGCAGGGTATTATGTGCAAAAAGAAACAAAGGAAACGCATGGTGTGGTGGTGAACGCGTTAACCCCCGGAAAGGGTAGCAGCGCGTTTGTCCTCCACCGCAGACACCTGCGGTCCAGAGTTTTGCAAATATGTCAACATCATTGTGGGTGTGTCACATATAATAGTCTGCCGTAAAAATTGTAATAGGCAGTAAATAAAAAAGTTACCAGGCTACTTTTAAATAGAATTTCGATAGCTAGAAAAAGTTAAAAATTGACATACCTTAGCAAGGTATGCGTAAGTTTCAGGCAGACGATGATTCTTGAAGGAGGAGAGAAATTGTTTCTCAGCTTCAAGGAATAGACCGAGTCTAAAAGTTTTTAATGGTCAACGGTTTATCAAACACTGATAGCCTTGATTTATTTTATTCCAACCTCAACCAGCCTAAGAAAACAAAGTAAAGCAGGGAAATTCGAAATACACAAACCGTTAGACCTGAAAGCCATTTCTACAAAAAAAAAATGTTCCGATTCGCTGAAAACGGTCTACGAAGTTGATGCCGAGATCCGCAATATTTCGAAGACAACGAAAGAACCTCAGTCTTTATACATTCAGACATATACAGTGCCACTATAATGATCGAATAGTGGCAACAGTCACAGGAATGATCTATTACAGCCGTGTCGCTTGCAAACGCGAAACATAGGCTACGCGATTCGCTCGCAATATTACCTCCTTAGGAGAGAATGGTTATGAATTCGTCGTTTTTTCTCTCAGCAATCGCGAGGTTGTTAAACAGCACACGTTTACTTCCATACAATAACATACAAGCAACACAATCGGAGCTGACGTTTCGGTATAATCGCCTTCTTCAGAGCCTGGAAGGGTACACTAATGCGCAACTTACTAGGACAAACACTTCAAAAACACAAACAGAAAGACGAAAATCTGAGCGATAGTTACAAGATCTACGGTTTCTCGAAAAACACACCGCTTTTTTTGATCTATCTTCCACCGAGGAAGAACAGCCGCTCAGAGTTGCATATGGTTGACGACTGCACCACCTCACGTCAACTATCGATACGAAGATACGGGATAAGATCACGTGTGTCTCCGGGCATTCCTCCCTGCTATTCATTGTAGGATTTCTGCTATTTATCCAAAAAGCCTCGAGGAGTTTGCGCGTTGGTATTTAGGATCCTGTGCGAGGATAGCGACTTTTACATCAAAATCGTCTCCGCTACGGTTTTGTATCCTATGCGTACCTAGTGGCGCACCTTGCCTTACTTTACGTTTGCCATCTAAGTGATCCTTTATGTGGATTCATAAAGGTTTGCCCGTCCGCCAGTATATTCGTCTCCGCAAATGGCATAAGTGATCAGGTATATCGTGCCTTAACTCATGCAGTCACCATCCCTCACATAAGGGCAGATTACGCAATTTTGTGTTTCACATAGAGGTCTAGAGGAATCGGAAGCGATAGTTGAAATACCACCGGCTACTCTACGTCGCCAATTAGTTCGTAAACGCCTATATGACGATCTATGTGAAAAATAAAATTGCGTAATTTGCCCTTATGTGAGAGATGGTGACTGCATGAGTTAAGGCACGATATTCCTGATCTCTTGTAGCATTTGCGGAGATGAATATATTGGCTAAACGGGCTGACATTATGTATCCGTATAAAAAAGCACCCAGATGGTAAACAAAAACTAAGACAAGGTACGCCACTAGCGACGTACATCATACAAAAGCATAACGGAGACGATTTTGATATGAAAGCCACTATACTCGCACAGGGTGCCAAAACACCAAAGCGTAAACCTCTCGACGCCGTTTCGATAAATGCCAAGAACCGGAGAATGAATAGCAGAGAAGAATACCCAGAGATAGCACGTGATCTCGTCCCGTATCTCGGAATGCTCTTCGATGAGGGGTGGTGCAATCATCTACCATATGCTACTCTAAACGGTTGTTCTTCCTGGGTGGAAGGCAGGTAAATAAGAGGTGGGGTTTTCGAGAAGCCGCTGATCTTGTAATTATCGCTTAGATTTTCACCTTTCTGTTTGTGCTGCTGAAGCGTTTGACCTACTAAGCTGTGTATTAGTGGGCCCTTCTAAGCTCCGAAGAAGGCGATTCTGCCGAGACGTCAGCTATCGTTGTGTTGTATGTGTTTTATGTGTATGGAAGTAAACGTGTGCTGAATATCAACCTCAGGATTGGTGAGAAAGAAAATGAGATATTTGTAATCCAATGCCGAGGTTAATAGAATGTCGATCCTGGGTGCTATTACAAAAGACAATGGTGTCTAAGCAGAGAATGGAAGTCGAAATACCTCATGTAACATTTACCGAGCTGGTTCTTCCAATACCAGTCGTCGTAACTCGCTGCTTTTGAAGCGATGGCAGCAATCTAAAACTTATTTTCAGTATGATTACACCTTTGTCTAACAATTTCCACATACTTGATGGGCTGTTTTCATATCTCCTTCGTGATAAAAAACATACTCGAATAGCTGACGGTTCACCTGAAGGCATTAATCTAGGTGACGGTAACGCATCTCTATTTTCACTTCTATGGATAGACTTTTTTAAATGGCTAATTTTGGGAATGTATTATGAGATCCAGTTCAAATTAAAATTTTTGTGGCAAAATTGTTATTTCTTGAATGAAAATCCCAGTTCACCATGGGATCAGCGCCATATTTATCGATGTTCAGGCGCTCTAACATAACGAATGGACCACCAGGATTTGACGCCATTGACGCCTGAAACTGAAAAGAAATAACGAAACATAGCTGCTTTGCTATAATGACTCTCCCGAAGTAATTTATTAGGTCTACAATCCATGTATTGACTAGAGATTTTTGAGAAAATAACTTTATACTTAACACGTTAGCGACTTTAAATGTTTTTAAAACTTTTTTCAGACTTAATGTTCTTGAACTTAGCAAATTTTTTTCGTCGTCTATCTAAACATGTTCCTATGCGGCAAACTTCGATGTACACGGCGTTGTTCAAATCTCAAAGAGACTCATTATCTTCTAAATATGAAAATATTAGACCATGAACTAGTTTTCCGTTAATACCAATACACCGTCTTAATATAAACATAAGAACCGGCAGGGTTTTGGGAGAAACGAACTGTGGCCAGTGGCTTGAACAAAACCTACCCATGCCATAACTTCTCCTCCTTAAGCTTTTAGTATACCTGATAGTTGAATGACTCGCCCTCACTGGTCGTGCGGACCCCAGCATAATCACGATTTTTCGGAGATTTGCTAGTTAAGCCATTGTGGTTACTAGCATCCCGAGGACAGCCTGGCCAAAGTCTGCTCCAGTTCCTCACCACCACGGGCAGTCACAACACGTGGGAAAGCAGAGATTTTCCACCATGCAATTTTGGTACCAGAACGGTGGCGATTCCTGGTATTGGTTTACTTTTAGCTAGGCTACTCGATGGAAACACTGGACTCCCTCTTAGCTTGGGAGACTGCCAAGGGATGAATCCCTCGCTGTAAATCGCAGCCCGACACCCTGAAACATCTCCCAGCCACGATGAGGCGGCAAACCGTTGGGTGAAAGCTTTTAGTATAAAGTTTATAAAGGTTTAATAAATTTTACTATTGCCTTCTTTCGTCTTCTCGTCTCGCAATGCTACAATACTGTTTTTTGAAGAAGAATTATAGTATTGCTGGCAATGTTATTGAAGAAATCTAACGAAAGGGTCAATGTGGCTTACAAAAAAGCGGCAACAGCTCACCGTTGCAAGACGAAGCTGTCGAGCTGAGTTGCTGCTTACAGCTCGAGCTGTGCGAGCAGTGCGACTCGTGCGCACTGCTTGCTCCATGGTTCCATTTCGTAGGGAAGTCATCGGACGAGATACGCCGGATAGAGGACGTCCGGCCGTCGATGTAGGTCTAAAGAGCATTATTGAAGTAGGAGTGATGAAGAATCATAGCGAGAAATAACTATGACAAAAACATCTACATTATGTATTAAACATGTTAGTTTACTTTTTTATTTACTGCCTACTACAATGTTTATGGCATGGTTTGAGAAACATCAACCACAACGATGCTGAGATATTCGCAAAAGCTGGATCCTGGGGTAGATTGAACCATGACTTTCTTTTCCGGGTGCTCGCGCGTTACGCACTGCGCCACGGAGCTCCTTGTGCTGAGTGTCTCTCAGCTAGTTTTCTATGTACCAGTGCCATTAGTAATCACCTGTCAACGGGATTGATCTGGGAAGCCCAAATCGGCATTGAACCCAGTTAAGTATTCATAACGGTGTCTGCAATGCACGGGTTAGTCAGAAGTGCCTTGCAATGCACCCATTTTCGTTGCATCGATCCCGCTCTCCGTAAGCCGAGCCCTCAAACTTTCAGGCATCGCCAATTTGATAACTTACTTGCCTGGTAAAATAATAGAGCCAACTGATCTATTGTTGGCAGCTGTAAGTCAATTTTTAGGCTAAATACGCATTTCAACACATTTACGGTGTTTGATGAAGTCGAATTGATGGCACATCTCCAAAGGATCGACCATTTTTTTTCTTGAGCAGACCCGAGGGTGTTAATAAAAGCTAACAAGTCTTTATGAAGCTTTACCACATTAGAATTAGATTTTATGGTTTACCACTTTGATATTAGTAGGTCTAATACCAGGACGCATGTAACGCTGTGATTGGAAGCACCCTGCAATACACATAGTATCGATCCTTGCACCCAAGACTTATGTCAACATGTTGTCGCATGTGAAAAAATCGAACTAAATACCGGTTTGCAAAATCCGCTTTCCATTATCTCTGTGAATTAATGGGACAATGAAGCAATCACTTCATAAACTTAAAAATTCACTGATTCTTTGTAAATTTTTTTTTCGGATAATTCACGATTTCTATGAGTAAAAGGAAATAGCAAATATCGAAAATTACCACGTAATCCAAAACCAAAATGCTTCTTGATTGCAAAAACATTTGTTCTGAGAAACGAAGGAGCCGCACGGTGCGATGGTGAACGCAATGATGCTGAGATATTTGGAAAACGTCGGAACTTAGGTGTCTGCGGTGGGGAACGAACTCGCTGTTACCCTTTCCGGGGGCAACGCGTTCACCACCACACCGTGCGGGTTTTTCGTTTCGCATGTTTCAGCTAGTTTTCTATCAACCTCGATAACATTTGTTTTACACTCGATATCGATAACATTTGTTAAAAAAAATAACAAAACTAGAAATTTTGCTAACCTCATAATAGGATTCATTGCTTTGCCTGTAGTGATCGGTCGCTGAAATGAGGTTCCAGGGCGAGCATTTTGAGCGATTACGTTCTGATCCAGGAACGTTTCAGCTATTCCTAGCTCTTCGTTTTCAAGCTCATCCACATACACTGTATCAGTCAGACAACTGAGTTTTAGCGCCCATGCAGCCTATATTTTATTTGTTTACCTTTATTTTTTAGTTAGCAGAAGCTTTTGTAACTTTTCTAAGCAGTACTTTTAAGACAGGGAGTGAGAATTTCGAAGTAGGTTAACCAAAACAATTCAACATCTCTAAAACTGTAAACAGGACTATTGCTAAAAGAGCTTTATGCATACAATTGATAGTGGGAAAAAAGATTGTCATTAATACGGGCCGAAACCCGTCAAGTCCTGAAATAGATAAACTTTATAAAGTCATTGAATGCTTTCTAAGCATTTACATTGGCGAGGCAGCTCTGTGATATTGATGTGCTCATTCTAGGGTTGGGCTTTTGGCGAACACTAAGGCTTACAAAAATTCATGTGGTAGAACTTGCAAACGGCCTATTTTTTTTTGAATGGTACTCGAACAATTACGTACCATGTCCAGAGGATTTTTGTTCAGTATATTTGTGCACTCCTCTTTGCATGCTTCTATCTGATTGTTGCGAAAAAGGCGTAGTGCTTTGAAGAGTCCATCAAAGTGTGGAACTTTCACCGATGACGTTTCCTCATCCAACATTATGGCTTCAAACTAAAATGAGCTTCTTATACACGTAGAAAACTTCTCTACCTACAATGGTTTACTATTGCCGTAGTGATAAATTACGAGCACTCTGCTAATGTTGCCGTGAAAATCCAGAAAAAGTGGAACTTTCAGATTAAAAATGCCACACGCCTAATACTAGCGGAAAAACGGACTGCTCCTCTCGGACCCTCCTATGCTTAATCCTGATCACACTTTTGTTATGTATTTCTGAAAATGCGCCTCACCTCGTGTGTTAGAAGATGAACTCGGCAGGCGTTTAAATCTTCCTTTTCTGAACTTAAAATCTTTATCTAAGAGACGTAATTTTATGATGAAATGGTTAAATTATTGACAGAATCAACACTGGAATTAGATCAAGAAAGGAGAAGAGATGATTAAGAAAAAAGGTTATTCAGCAAAACATTATTATGAAAGTTTTCTGAACACTAGAGATCGAATGGATGGTTGCCCTAGTGTTGCTATGGAAACACCATTGGCGATAGCCTAGCTGTGTTTCGTATAAATGAATCTGGCCCACCTTCTTAAGAGTTTTCCTTCTTGTAACTATTTTTTCAGAAACAACATATTAACGATTTTACATGGTGTTTTTGAAGGCTTGTTGGCAATACACTGCTTCAATAGTACTGAAGATATTTGTGAGCGTCATATCGGAATGTTCATCAAGGAGTTTATGCCCTCATTAGGGTCACTTGAGCTGAGAAAGCGTACCATCGAAAAATCCAGATAATAGGAAACATTTATTCATTCTTATGCTTGCTCGCTTTATAGGACTTAAAGCAGACCAAATTTCTATAGAAAATATGGAATGTCTCACACAGTTCATTGAATAAGGTGAAGACACTTCACGTTGAGTGAAAAGGCTACGCACAGTGCAACTTAAGTAAAGATGCTCGATAAAAATCGTTATTCACACGCCTTCTTAATCTCTAAACCATGATATAAACTAGCGTTTTGTGGAATTTATTAAAACATTCACAACGTCGCTGAGATATGAATGTGTCGTTTTCTTGTTCAGCAATCGCGAGGTTTTTAAACAGCATACATTTACTTCCATAAAAAACACAATACAATACAACGCTAGCTGACGTTTCAGCAGTATCGCCTTCTTCAGAGCCTGGAAGGGTATACTGATATACAATCTACTAGGCCAAACGCTTCAATAACACTTACACAAAGACGAAAGACTCTTTGGTAATTACACGATCAACAACTTCTCGAAAAACCCACCGCTTTTTCGTGACTTCCAATGAGGAAGTTTAGAACAGCTGATTATAGTCGCATGTGGTTGACGACTGCACCATCCCACATAAAAAATCGCTGCGAGCATACGGGGTCAGGTCGCGTATGACCTCCGAGCATTCATCCGTGCTATTCATTGTAGGGTTTTTGGCATTGATCCAAAAAGCCTCTAGGAGTTTTCGCGCTGGTGTTTTGGACTCCTGTGCAAGGATATTGACTTTTACTTCAAAATCGTCTCCGCTATGCTTTTGTATCCTATGCGTGCCCAGTGGGGTGCTTCGTCATAGTTTTCGTTTGCCATCTAGGTGTTCTTTTAGACGGATACTTTGCCCATTTCGCCAATATATTCACCTCCGCAATTATTACAGGAGATTAGGTATATCGTACCTGAACTCATGCAATCACCGTCCCTGCCGTAAGAGCAAATTACGCAATTCGTTGTTTCACACAGACGGTCATACAGGCGGTTGCGAACTAATTGGCGGCGTAGAGTAGCCGGTGGTATTTCAACTATCGCTACCGATTCCTCTAGACCTCCCCTTCTTAAGCATCGTTTTATAGCTGCGCTTGNAACCGCCTATATGACCCTCTATGTGCAACTCAAAATTGCATAATTTGCCCCAGTGGTAGAGACGGTGATTGCATGAGCTCGGGTATA